AGTGTGTGAATGCAGGTCAACAGCGAGCCAAACTCGATTTTCATGAGCCAGGAACTGAGTGCCTTGCTCCTTTATTGATGGTTTTCTCAAGGCAGGTGAAAATTATGAGTGAAACTGAAATACATAAACAGAAGAAATAGAAAAACAGCCATTAACTCTCAATTGGAAGAATAATTACACTGCAGGAAATGGCAGGCACCAACACGAGACATTGTACATGAATAGAGTGTTATCTCTACAAGTATATTGATTAGCAATACTTTCAGCGATCTTTTGTTATGTGTACTTCTTCTGCCCATAATGCATAGCAGTGACTAAGCCTTCACAATAAAGCACAGATAAACTAATGCTGTCTGCATACAAGGTGATTTTAGCTGATTGCCTCCCTTTTTTTGTAACATGAATTTCAACAAATGAATTATGAAATATGATAATGGAATATGAACTGAGTTATTATGAACCTTTAACATTCTTAATCTAAAGCCTTTTAACAAAAGGGCAGAACACTATATTGCACTTCATGGTATTTTTGTACATCTGCTATAACAGTGTAAAATTTCTCATGGTTTTGTTCTTCCATTTGTTGATTTCTAAAATGTACCGTAAGTTTACTGTTTACCTGTCAAAATGGTTCAAAGAAAGGGATAACTTTCCCAGAAATCTGTGAAAACGTACTGTATATTATAAATTTACTTAAAATGTTCTGAAAGTACTGGTATGCAAACTGAAATATTTAATTTGTTGTATTGTATTGAAGATATCAAATAGAATTGGCAACACTATGCACTTTCTGGTGATGAGGACAAGGAACCAGTAGCATACCCACTCTGTAAACAAGGGGATAGTGATATTATCATTATCATCACTCAGACACAGAGTCTTAAGAAGACCGATAATAACTGCTGTGAACTAACGTTTCCCCCATTCTGAAGTCCCAGCATCTTGCATGGAGCTAAAGGTTAACTTGCTTTGCATTTGATATAAAGTGTTGCCCCCTGTCACAATGATTTTCGTTTAGGGACTGAGGACACCAGGTGATTCAGTGTGTCAGGTGTCATTTTGTCCCATTCTTCCTGTAAACAAGTCTTAAGGTCCACAACAGTCCTGGGTCTTTGTTGCGTTTCAAAATGCACCACATGTTCTCTACTGGGGACAGGTGGGGACTGCAGACAGGCCAGTTCAGCACTCACACCCTTTCCCTCCACAGCCAGGCCTTGGTAATGTGGCAGGATGAGGTTTTGCATTGTCTTGTTGAAATATGCCTGGAAGTCCCTGGAAAAGATGTCATCTTGAAGGCAGCATGTGTTGCTCCAGCATCTTTGTGTATTGTTCATCATGGAGCCATCACAGAAGTGTAAGTTCCCTTTGCCAAGGGCACTGACACAACCCCAGACCATGACAGATCCTGGCCTTTGGACTTGTAGCTGGGAACAGTCTGGATTGTCCTTTTTGTCTTTGGTCCAGAGCACACGGCGTCCATTCCTTCCAGAAAAGGCCTGAAATGTTGATTTGTCTGACCACAGTACACGTTTCTACTGTGTGATGGTCCATCCCAGATGCCTCTGAGCCCAGAGCTTCTGGACACTGTTGACATAGGGCTTCCTTTTGGCACAGTACAGTTTTAAGCAGCATTTAAGGATGTAACTACATATTGTAGTGCCTGACACAGGTGAGCCAAAGTCATCCTGAGCCCATGTGGTTATATCACTTATAGAAGAGTGATGATTCTTGATGCGGTGCCGTCTGAGGGATCAGAGAGCTCGGTCATCTAACTGAGGCTCAGCCCTTGCTCTTAATGTACTGAAATCCCTCCCTTAGTTTCTTGTTGATAGCCACGATGTGTGTCTGCTGCAAAACATCAGTTTGGCTCGTTTCAGCTGAGGTTTCATGCAGCAGTTTAGCTTCATGCAGGATTTCTAGTGGACCTGATGGTTCAGGAACTATGTAACTGGCGTGTACAGCTGATGTCAGATGGTTGTAATTGACTTGTGTAAACTGACTGATCACTTCATGGTATATGATGACGAATATTGCATGTAAGAGTTGTAACTCCTGTCTTGTTCTTATATCAGATGAAAAGCCTGTCAGGAGAGGAGCTAAGAAAGGTATCAGCATGCTGCTGTGAATGACATCTGAACTCACAATTCATTGTAGGTTTATAATTGAATGTGTTTGTTAAACTAATTTAAACCCTTCAGATCCCTTTTAGTTGTCACAGATCAGCATGATAATATCTACCAAAAAAATGTAATTAATTTCTACTTTGAGTTTTATTTTGGCTCATGTCCGATCCACTAACATGTAGGGGCAGGGTTTGTGACCTGTACTGCAACCAGCCACTGGGGGCGGTTGGCTTGCAGTGGCTTTACTTCCGGGAGCTGTCAAATTGTCCATCTTTATCTATAGTTTATGTAACAACCAGTTACAAGCTAACAGTTAATGTTGGACAAAAAAAAGATACTAACCACATTTGCCATTCTGAAACATCTGCCAACTGCTGATTTTGGTGAACAACAGACTATTGGTCGTAGTCGGTGTCTGAATGAAGTTCAGACATACCCCCTCTTACCATCATACCTTAATAGACACTGATTTTACTGGTCCACCCGGGAAAAGCCACGGTGGTGGGCAGTGCATGATGTCTTGGCTCCTTTGCATCTATTTGAATATTCATGAATCTTGAAATTCACAAAGGAAAAGACTAATCATGTCTTCAGCTTATTGAACTTATTTTGTAGAAAAACCTAGACACTATTTGTTTACAACAGAATATGTTATATGCCTTAAAATGTCTGTGGAGGGGTCTTGGATAAACCGGTGTAAATCCTGTTTTATTGTGGATAAACCGGTGTAAATCCTGTTTTATGCTGGTTTACAGCAGTTTAAATTAAGTATAATATGCCAACATTGTAAACAGCATTCACACAGCATGAAGGAGAACAAAAGAGTAGTATGGCATGGACCTGGCCTTGCTGCATATACTGTAAATGTAGTCCTTATTTCATCCCTGTGCATAATTTGCTTGATGTGTGGTGATGTCTCATAACACAGCATGGTTTTTATCACATAACCTGTTTTATGGGCACTGGAACATTAAACAGTAATAGTTTATTTATATAGCACTTTACAACTCCAAAGGAGCACAGAGTGCTTCACAACAGAACATGTGTACACAAATGGAAAAACACTACTAAAACAATTACCTAAACAGGCCAGGTACAGCGGCGCCATCTTGTCTTCAGTAACAGTAGTGTTGATCATCCATCCTAGAAACCTCTCCAACAAAGGACTTGGCCTGGAAGCTTCAGGAGGCTTTAAAGCAGCAGCTGGCCATCATCCATGAACGTGTAGAGGCCAAGAAGCTTGCTAAGTTGGCTCTGGCTGATGTCAGACAGCTTCTGGCCAGGGAGGAGGAGGAGATTGAGCTGGGCAGGAAGGACAGAACAGTCAGAGTAAAAGAGAGAGTGGCTGCTAGCCTGAAGGAAGAAGGAGAGAAGATGTGAAGAAGGCTATGGAGAAACTATGGGAGGAAAAGGCAAAACAACCAGATGAGAAATGCAAACGAGAGCAAGGGTGAGAATGAGGGGGAGAAGAAACTAAAGAAAGGAGGGAAGAAAGAAGAGAAAGCACAGGAGGAGAACAGGGGGAGGAGGAAGGAGTCTGCCAAAGACTAAAGAAAAGCAAAGGGAACAAATCTGACAGAGTGGACAAGAAATGATGTCAGAGGTGTTAAGGTTTCATTGGAATATATTCATCTCCTAGGAAGTGTTTGATACACGGCCACAACACTGACGGTTCCATTGGCTCTCACCAAACTGTGTTTGTTGCATCAAGTTTCAAAAACCAAGTCCTGCTGGAATCAAATGTCCAGTTAAATTCATGATAGTGTTGGTTGTTAAACTTGTTTTACTCAGATGGCTTTGGTCAAATATGGGTAAAAGATTTGTTTAAAATGCTTATTTCTGCACTTAATGAATCAAAGTACTATTTTTAAATGATACCCAGCCCTGTGTACAGGTCAGCGGTTATTAAGTGGCCCACATTTCACATCGACTTATAGTGCTCGTCACCTGATTTATGATCTCTTTAATGTTGTTTTCTAATATTAAAAGCAATGTACAGATGAGACTTTTAACATAACATGAAAATGTGGTAACATGGCTGTAGCTAAGTATTAGAGGCCTGACATCAGCAACAGTTGCTCTGCTAAAACAGTCACAGGGTAGGTTTTGGTGAATTAAATATATTATGTCATTACTTTTGACCATGTTCTGGTGGAAGCTAGGTAACAAGTCACTTCCATGCTACTAACCAAAGGAAGAGTCTCGAGGGGTCACAACCAGTGGATGAGGGAAGGCTGGGATGGATGGGAGAAATGGAAAAGGGTAGGCTTACATTTGCAGGGCACAGATGGAGCACTGCAAGGTACTGCTGCAGATACTCTACTTTTGTGATCATGCTTACTTTTGACTAGGTTCAATAGAAACAAATATATAACATATCTAACGTCGGTTTCTCAACAGAAACTGACAAAATGTGTTTTTATAAGTGCAGGGAATTTTGTGTCCCACTATAATTTTTTTTGTCAGATTTGGCATTCATTTGTGTGTGTGTGTGTGTCTCTCTCTCTCTCTTTTTAAGTGAAAGCAAGTCCTGTCTGTGAACTGTTAGGAAGCAGTGCAGAAATGGAAATTATAGACTGATTCTTTGTTTTTAGACCACATCGAATTTAGACTTATACTTTTAAAGCTGTCTTAATATCAGACCAAACCTCAGTCAGCAAAAGAAAACCCGTGCCTTTCAGATGGTTTGATCAGTTTTATGTGAATGATATTGCCAACGTATAATACCCATCTGATGTACAGACTGTTACTGACAAGGTCCTGTACAGGTTGTAAGGAAACGGTAGAAACACATATACATATGGTGTACACAGTACATGTACTGTGTTGGCACACATAAACATTTCCTGTCATCACCATGTACATCATCTCATGTAGGGTTGAAAGAGAAAGCTGTTGTCGTCACTTCCCGTAGCGAAGAAGCCACTGGAGAGTCTCCTGAACCTGAACGTGCACCAGAAGGTAAAGTGCATGTTCAGTATATACACTAGTGTCGGTGCTAGACCATGTTTATAGATGATGAGGAAAGAGGGAACATGGGTTTAATGTGGTGGCGGCTCCTCACAGTACTTTGGAGTCCTTAAAATCACCTGGATACCAAAAGCCTTCATTTCACAAACTGTGTACTGTAAACATATCTCAGATGGTGGAGTAAAACTTAGACATGTAAGTTTATTTTGATAATCTGACTATTTGATTAAACATGTAATTTGATTAAAACAGGAAGCACTATTTGATGTAGGAGGAGATTTGTTCATCACTTCATGGTTCTACTGAGCAGTTGCACCTGAACAACGAGCTGCACCTAATTCGTGAACCTGTCAAATGTCTTCACTCACCCTCATTATGCAAATGTGTGACTAACCAACAAGTAAGGCTGGATATTTGCTCTGATTTGGACACTATCCTGTCCCATACAGCGACAGACGCTTCAGTCCAGACATCCACTTTAATGGTCAGTTTGAGCACAGTCACTGATTCATCTGTGCTGTCTGACATCAGCCTGATATCTGCAGACAGCTGCTAGCTAGTGTTAGCTTCTCAACAGGAACAGAACGGTTGAGTAGAATCCACACACGGTTCACTGGACTTCCATGGCCTCACATCTAGTAGCCAGAGATAATACCAGTTTAAGAAATCAAACTGTGAGTTTAGATCACTGGGTAGAGTTTGTTCATCAGTGTTTCATGCATTTTACCATCAACACCATCCCCCTTTGTCCTTAGCTGCTGTTGAGCCTGACCCTGTACCTGTGGAAGATGTGATTGAGGCTGCTGTAGCAAAGGACACTAGTGCACCACCACCAGGTACGTGTGTGTGTGTGTGTGTGTGTCTGTGTGTGTTCCTTCGGTGCAGCAAATCCATAAACTTTTATTGTTGTTGCTCTGTCTCCTTCTTTTTTCAGCTGAAACTAGCTCTCTCCCTCTCCCTCTCCCTCTCTCTCTCTCCCTCTCTCACACTCGCGCGCGCACACACACACACACATATGTGTGTATACAACTCCTTGTTGTGCTGATAGAGCTGTTAAATGATAGCTTCATTCTGCATAATGACTACTCAGCTTTGTTGTCCAATTGAGTAAAATAATGCCACACGTGGTTTTTTCCCCCCTGCCAACACATTTCCTGCCTGTGCTCCACAGAAACTGGGTGTGTGGCTCAAAGACAGAAACTGTGTCATAAACATAGTACTGATTCTCTACAATGTAAATAAATGCCTCAAATTGTCAGATGTTTCTTTCAGTGTTCGATTACTTGATTATTGATGCACATCCCTACTAGATACAATCCAGTACTGTATATGCAATGGCATCCTGATATTGAAAGCATAGTTTGGATAGAAGGCAGTAGATGAGTTGAAAACACTAGTGTTTGGACTATTTCTGTCTGAGTAGTGACTGTTCTGTCATTTGTAGGGGTGTAATGGTTCACCAAACCCATGGTTTGTTTTGGACCCTGGTTTTTTTTGTATTGGGTAGTGAATAAAACAAAACATAAAATATTTCCTGGGGTTTATTAAATCACCAACAGTGTGGAGCATTAAAGACAGGAACACTACAACAAGAATGATGTAGTAAGCAGAGGTTAAGTGTGAGGATTTGTAACGCATGAAATACCTGTACATAAACTATATTTCTATAATTTTATTGATATAATGTAGTTGTAATTTACCCAGTTCAATTGCAGATTGATTAAGGGGGGAGGGGCGAATGTTTGCCTCCAGTTTCATGTTTGGTTTCAGTGATGTTAAGCAAAATCCAAGCATCTTTGCTTCAAGGCCGTCATAAAATGATACCAACAGTGCTCTGCTCTGAGCAAGGCTTGGTGTGAATTGCCTACGTGTGAGTGAATGATGATCTGTACAACTCTCTGCTTGTTCTCTTTAGAGCCTGAACCTGAGATAGCAGCTGAGGATGAACCAGAGCCAGAGCCTGAACCTGAGGAGACTCTTGAGGTTTGTACAGCCTGGGTTGATTATTAACAGTTGTGTAAACAGTTAAGTGACAGTGTAAAGTTTTGCCATTTGTGCCCTCTAGACCAGTAGACTCCTTTACAACTAAAGCTGAGTAACACTATTTAAGTTTTCCACACACATTAGGTTTAAAGATGCAGTAAGGGCAGCTGTGTCCTTTAACCACAGTCACAGCTGGGTTCTAAATACTGTATAGGCTTTTAAAATCAAAAGCACCTTTTGTCCACCAGTAAATAATCTCATCAGTAGAGACATTTTATGTCTTAGTGGAACAAGATGTCCTGAACTTGTGTGCTAATTAGCAGAAACACATGTCTTTGTCCTGCCTAGTGTTTGTTGGTGATCATGTGATTCAGAAGTCAACACGTTACTGTGGTTGACTGTGTTACTTAGCTCACCTGTGGCTGTAGTAGTACTGTTGCTGGCTTGCACGCTGAAGAGTCTGTGTACTGTAAGAATACAGTAAATAGTTAGTGGAACGCTGTCCTACTCTCATCATTTAAATATTATAAACCCACCAGCAGGTCGGTGTCCAAGTGCAGACATTTGTGGACACTTACTGTATTGCTGCAAGTTTAATTTGTGAATTCACATGTCCACAGACAGCTGGATCGGTTTAATATGTAGTGTAGTAGTTCTGAAATGTACCAGACACAAATGTGAATCCACTGATGACATTTGGGTGGTGTATTTTCCTCTTCAGGTGATTGAGAGCGATCCAGTGGTGCTGGAGGAGGAGCCTCCTGTTGTGGAAGAGGACGCCCCAGTGGAGGAGGTATGTGGTTTTGGTCATTGCTGCTTTGTAACTGCACATTTAGCTATGTAGACTGAAATACTTCATTTTACTCAGCAGTGTTAGGCATAATTAAGAGACGAACTTTGGAAATATATTAAAGAATGTGTTCATTGCAAAATCTTTACGTTTTGTCCGTTCCGCCTAAAAAAAAAAAAAAAACGACTCATGAGTCTCAACTGTGGGATCGGTAGAGAAGGTGGGAGGTCGGCCCATCTGTGGACTTCATCATAGGCTGATGTTGCCAGGTCTAAACTCCACTAAAGACAGCTGATGTGTGGAAACAGATAAGTGGAAAAGAATGACAAAGTTCAGTCAACAGGGTGTCAACTAAACGGGTCAAAACTCCTTTTCAGTCAAAGCAGCTGCGGGTGGAATTCTTTACCACTGAGTATCAGAGTGCAGTACTTTTAAGACCTTCGTGTTCAGTTTGAAAATGTGGCTGAAGGATACTCAGACTGGCAGTTGCTGATGTGGCCAGCATTAATATTAAGGGTCTAACTGGAAATGGCTTCTATTGAAGAGTGTGTTGGAATTGTCTTTAGTTCTTGTTTGTTATTTAAAGTCTGAAGTATTTAATTTAGTGCAATCGTTTATCTGATTATTTTAAAACCTGTGCATTTTCGTTGAGGGACCGCAATTAGCCTTTAGCTCTACCTGGTACAATAAATGCATTGTGCACTGAGCCTGTAAAATAAACAAATTAAGCAAAATGGACATTTGAATGATAGCTACCGACTGTCATGACTGACTAAACAACAGAGCCAGCTGTGTTGGCTGTAGCGGCTCCAAGGACACTGATTGGTCAGTAGTTAAATGTCGTTCTCCTTTTTCCAAAGCTCTGCTTAAATAACTGGACCACACAGTACACTATGATAGTATGTTGGTGTCAAAACATTTAAGAGCATACACATCAAATTTTGAGTGTCAGATTTTGAATATACAAATTTAGATTATTTTCACGTACAGACCTGAATATACACTTTGACCATATTAACTGTACAGGGACAATACAACAGGTAGAAATATTCCCCTTAAAGGCAGAATCACACTCCTTTTGTCGTTTGTGTTGAAATGACCATGCCATTTACTTTAGATTGGTAAAACAAAAACAAATAGTATTTACACAGAGATCGTGGAAAACTGCTGATAGTCTGACTCGTCTTCAAGGCAACATTTTTGATTTAAACCTTCTACGCAGCTGCTCCTGTGTTCATTTTCAGTTACAGGTCTGTGTGTGTGTGTGTTTAAGGGCAGGGCTACACACACACACACACACGGTGTAGCCGAACAGGAAGAAGTGTGCATTTTGGCTGCATTCACACCAGATCCTTCCCACAGGGTTGTGCTGAGGTGTGACTGTGTTTATTCTTGCTGTAGAACGTAGCCACAGTGAAACAATCACACGATAAGGTTTTAATTTCCTGGTTCAGCTCGTTCTCGCCGACGCTGCTCTCCCTCTTTCGCTCTCTTTCTTGCGGACCTCAAGCCCTCCATTCCATCTTGTGCCATTTATACAGGAGCTGGTGCAGTCTCACCCTAGCAAAAAGACTGCTTCTCACTGTGGTATTGTGGAGGGTCAACTTTGACCCCCCCCCCACATCGAGTGGGCAGTTTAAAAGGGACTTATGAAGGTCCCACCCTTTTCTAAGCTTTGGCTGACATTGTTGCTTTCTATAGGCTGCTCCAATTGAGGAGGAGGAGGTGTCAGATGATCCCGCAGAAGAGGCAGCAGCTGAAGAGGTGGAGGAAACCCAGGAAGAGGCTGCTGAGGGGCTGGCTGACACTGAAGAGGAGGAGAGTGCACCTACAGAAGAAGATGTAGAAGAAGAGGAGGCAGCTTATTCAGAGGAACCTGATGAGGCACCCATTGGAGAGGGGGAATCAACCATTGAAGACGAGGAGGCAGAGGAGCCCTCCGATGAGATCGAGGTGACAGAAGAAGAAGATGCAGCTCTTTTAGAAGAAGATGTTGAGGAAACTGCTGAAGAGGACTTAGCTTCCACAGAAGAAGTAGTGGAGGAGGCTGCGGACGCAGAAGAAGAGGAGCAATCAGTTCCAGGTAAGAAGGAAAAGATATAGATAAAGACCAGGTATACTGTACCAGGGTTGTTTGGTTGTTGACTTTGATCCCAACAACTAAAAGTAGTGGTTTAACATTTCTAGAAATACTGTATGTGCATTGTGCATCTTGACAAACAGGGTCATAAAAGATTCTGTCATAATTTATTATTGGCAGTGGGTAACTGAGACACTAGGTTCTGATAAGGAAGGAAAAAATGTGGATATCTCTGCGTCTGCTCTTAAAGGTTCTTGGTTTTATAATGTCCAAATGTGGAAAAGTCTGGTCTACAGCTCCGTGGTAGTGAAGGGAGGGAGCGCTGTGCTGCCAGAGCATCCTCTGTGTTTTTAGCTCATCTTTGCCCACATTTGCTGACAGTGATGCAGAACAGGCCAAAAAATAATCCAGTTTAATCAGTTTTGAAACTTCATACTTCAAATCTTGCATCTGCCTTCTCTTTGAGCACCACTCTTGCATTTATCTACAGCATTCTGAATGAACACACTTACATTTTTCCAAAACTACCTGAAGTTCTACACTGGTGAATGCGGGGGGGGGGGGGGATGTGTTTACTTTGCATCATCGTGGGTGGTGCAAATGCAGCTAAAACCTATGAGGAGGTAAAATAGCAATAACGTTAATGGTAGCACATAATTAGTCATTCAGCTGACTTAGCATTGCTGTACAGTACATGTTACATTCACATGGTCCTGAGAGCCTGCCTGGGCCCCCACCTGGCATGGCAGCCACACTGCTTGCACTCCCTGGTGCTTTGCCAGTGGTGTGTCCCTTGCAACCAATACTAGTCAGGCCAATGTCCGTTACAGCTTTTGCAGTATTTCTGACATTACCTCTAATGACAGCATCCATCTGCGTGATTTTTACACTCCTGGAGTGTAACACTGCATTTATCAAGCTAAACTCTTTGTCAGTGCACTGTGCTGAGGTGCAGCATAGTCGCAGGACTAGCATCCAAACACCATACATCAGTTATAAAGCTGAAGGCAGGGATGTCACCAGCCAGTAGGTCATGAATGTGTGTGGCCACAGCGTTGTAGAGTTCAGGGAGACAAACAGCCGGGCAGTGTGTATCAGGGCTCCATATTGTCTATCAGACTTTCAAAGCCTGCGACTCCACAAGGGAGAAAGCTTGCTGATTTAATGCGGTGAACTCCATCAACCTTATTAGTGATCCCTTTTAGCTTCGGCGCTGTCTGTGGGGATCTGAAATGCTGTGGTCATCATCTGAGTCTTACTGGTGGTGCTCTGTCATTTCTTGGTGGCCAGTCGGTCTCACCATTTTTTGTCGACTTTGAGGTAATAGTTGTTATGTCTGCTTTTCAAATGGGCTAGGAGACCTGATGTGTTAAAATTTTTGTTTATAGTACTTCCTCTTGAAATGTCACCGGCCCCTGTCTTACAGGCTGCATATCGATAATTGTTTTCTGAGACAGTGAAATACTCCCACACGGCCAACATTTTCTTTCACTGTCATTTGAAAACAAACCACACATGCACAAATCGCCACAGAAAATGCTGCTCTGGGTGGTATTATACTATAGTACCACCTAGTGGATCGGTCCCGAACGTGCAACTGACTAGGCCACTGTTGTCTGAGCCAAACTGCAAATAACAACACATTTAGCCAGAGCAAGCTTGATGAGATGTGGGAGACAAACATCGGCCACTACCATCAGTGAATGATCATCATATTTGCAGATAGGCTGATGTCAGTCAACAAGGTGAATATTGGCCGATACCGATGCATGGCCGATAAATCGCATCACTAATTATCTTTCTGTACATTCTTTAATTCAAGATGATGGGTGACTCAAATTCTGTGTAACTGTGGCATACAGGCTTTAGATGGCGATTTAATGAATTTAATTTAGAATTTAATAGCAAAAGTGGTACAAGCAAATTCATAGGGCGTTACAGGTAACGACATTTGTGGCGTAGAAATCAAAGGGGAAAAGCCCAACAAATCTTGAAGTTCATCTTCACAGTTGCCATCAAAAGAAATGCAGCGTTCATGGAAAAAGATGCTGTGAGAAAGAAAAAGCATTAGCAACGTTAGCAATACGTCCTCACTGCTCAAAAAGAGAAGATGAAAAGAAATGTCCTGCTCCAGTGAATACAAAACATGGGAAAACATGGAAAACAGCCATGAATCTCTATATTGAAATGTGTGTCAGTCAGATTATGTGACTTGCAAGAATTTATTGCTGCACCTGATCCCAAATTCACACATTAATACATTGATTGTACTAATAAAGTCAAGTCCAACTCAGAGGGTCAAAGAACAGGAAGAGGCCTGTAAAGTGACACTTTGTATCTGGCCGGGCTGAAAAGGGTCTGACTGACCAAATTCTGGGAACGTATGCGTGTTTTAACCAGGCTCGCATAAGCCCTACTTAGTTTACCTCACATTTGTCACCCACTCACTGAGGAGACAACAGTACGGTAGAGTGTAGAGACAGGACTAAACTACCCTGAAGTAAATTGGTCAAACCATCAAATTTTGATCTTGGGGTATTAACAGGCTTTGCCAGTCTGAAGCAAAGGTATAACACGTTAGTTACATTTAGTCTTAAAATAATGATGTCTTATTTTTCACACCTTGGACTTTAAATCTAAAGTCGCTTAAACTGAAACTAAAATATACAAACAGAGGTGAGTCTGTGAAATCAAAACTAACTGAAACTAATTAAACCACCAAATAAAACTAAACAAATTCAGATTGAATCCAAAAAATAATCAAAATAAAACTAATTAGAAAATGGGAAATATTATAATCCTGGTACACATTGTGTTGTGTGCTAAAATTGAATTTCCTCTTGTATACTGAAGTGTTAAAATAAAATATTCTTACTTATTAATACATTGTCTACCAAGCTGTAAGCATGGCGTACTGGAGCTCAGGACCCAAGTATGATTCCTGATGTACCAGTGCTAAAGTAATGTTTAAACTGCTCCTGCTACAGTTGTTCACACTGTTGCATCAGAATCCGCTTTACTGGCCAGGTGTGTTGGACACACAAGGAATTTGACTCTGGTACATCGGCTGACAATGTGTATGTGCATATCAACAAGCAAAGGAATGTGCATTAGGAAAATAGATAAAAAAATAAGAGTAAAGTACTTATAAATAGAGACCTGTGTTTGTGTATACATGCACGTGCACGTGCACGCGCACACACATGTCTAGTCTGGATTCAACGGGTTTATATGTACATTGTATATTTACAGGTATTGAGGGTTATTGTCTAATCATACTGTCGTGGGTTAAGTGTTAATCAGAGTGGCGGCCTGGGGGAAGAAACTGTCCCTGTGCCTGGTTGCCTTGGTGCACAGTGACCTGTAACGCCGTCCAGAGGGGAGGAGTTCAAACAGATTGTGTCCAGGGTGTGAGGGGTCTGCAGAAATAGTCTCTGCCCTCCCTTTAACCCGTGAGGTGTACAGGTCATCCATGGAGGGCAGGCTGGCACCAATGGTTCTTTCTGCAGTCCTGACTGTCCGCTGAAGTCTGTAAAATGGGGGAAGGGGGGGACTCTTCCTAGAGTCCACTGTCATCTCCACTGTTTTAAGCGTGTTCCGCTCCAGGTTGTTGCGGCTACACCACAGGACCAGCTGCTCAACCTCCCATCTGTAGGCTGACTAGTCATTGTCTCGGATGAGACCAATGACCGTTGTATCATCAGCAAACTTTAGGAGCTTGACAGAGGGGTTCTTCGAGATGCAGTCATTGGTGCAGAGTGAAAACAGCAGAGGGGAGAGCACACATCCCTAGGGGGCACCTGTGCTTATTGTCCGGGTGCTGGTTGTGGTTTTCCCCAGTTTCACCTGTTGTTTCCACATTCACAGAGACAGAAGAAGTAGCAGAAGAGGAAGAGGAGATGCCAGAAGATGGTAAGTATTCACACACACAAACACATGTTGTGTTTCCATTGCTTCAGGGGAAATTACATTCACTTATATTCATTTCCTGGACACTTACCCTAACCACAACCACCACATGCCTGACCCTCATCCTTCCTCTTTTAGACTAAAGCTACGTCCAGGCTACATGCTAAAGTGACTCAAAATAGATTTTTTTTCACTTGCATATGTGGTTCTAGATCTGATTTAAACCCGAATGGCCCGATTGGAATTTGTATTTTTTTCCAGTGTCTCACCGCTGTGCATATGCGTGTATATCGTTGTCACTCAGTGTCAACCTTTCACAGACTGGTCAAAATACACATGGACGAGAGCAACAACAGCGACAGGGGGCGGTGGATGGGAATGTGCAATTTGACCATCACAGAAATGTTGTTGGTGTTATTACTGTGTGCATGTGGCTCATATTCATTTAAATCTGCATATGCATGGGGGAGCACTAGTGTTCAGATCAGAGTTGGATACATGTCATTTACAGACATGAATGTGAATCGTGAACAGAAAAATGACTGAATCTGGCAAAAACATTTGAGAATTGAGCATTAAAGCCGCTGATGTGAACAATGGATGTAGTGCAAGTCATCGCTCTAAAATGTAATGATGGGAACTTGCCCTTTGTCCCCTATAAGGAGGTTGCGTCCTTTGCAACATGAGCAATACCAGGCCACACAGTTGATCTCTAAAATCCTTAAGGGTGTTGGTGTGCATTTAGAGGGGGCAACGGCTTATTCATGCATATGTTTTTCTTTGCAGCAGCAGAGTTTGAGACAGAAGAACAGACTCAGGAGGAGCCCACAGGTAAACACTGTTTACAACCAATCTCATGCTCTTAATCAGTACTTAAGCTGTTATGACCTTAGCATCTTTCCACAAGGCTGCTGCTTCTTCTTTCAGCTGTTCCCGTTAGGGGTCGACACAGCGAATCATCTGTTTCCACCTAACTCTATCCTCGGCATCCTCTACTCTCACCCCAATTAACTTCATGTCCTCTTTTAGCACATCCATATATCTCCTCTTTGGCCTTCCTCTTGACCTCTTGCCTGGCAGCTCTATCTCCAACATCCTTCTACCAATATAACCACTATCCCTCCTCTGCACATGTCCAAACCATCTCAATCTGGCCTCTCTGACCTTGTCCCCAAAACAGCCGACCTGAGCTGTCCCTCTGATGTGCTCATTCCTAATCCTGTCCATCCTGGTCCCTCCTAAAGAGAACCTCAACATCCTCATCTTTGCTACCTCCATCTCTTCCTCTTGGAGGTAGCAGAGATGAGGATGTGGAGGTTAATCTGTCCACAAGGCTAAGGCCAGCTAAATCCTAAAAGACATTTCTCTTTGTTTTGGCAAGTCGACATTTTAATCAGGGTAGTTGAGAATGAGTAAAAGTGAAAAAACACTGGCCTTTTGTTGCAGTGTGGGTTACAGAAAATGAGTTGATGCCTGGAAACACGGTGTGGTGCAGGAGTAGTATCAAAGATGGTTCTGTCACCTGTCATATGTTCATGGTTCACAGTGGATATCTGATTATCTATTTTCTGTTTCGCCTGCTAATGTGACAGCTGTTATGAGCCACCATCAGATCATTCCTGCCTGTTAAATTGTTTGACAGCAGAAACGTAAAATGTGTAAATATGTAACTAAACTGCAAGTTCATCTGCACTAAAACACAGTGTGAACAGAGAGCCAGTGGAGACAGAAGTTTAACCAGTTAAAGAGACTGGCTCTCCTGCTGTCTTTTCAGTATGAACCTTTACAAAGAGTATGGATTTTTAGACAAATGACCTGAAAGTTTAAATGTGGATGCATATTGTTCTAACAGAAAATGTAGCTGTCTTAAGCTGGATTTATAACTAGTTGTTAAAGTGTTGCTTGGTAGCACATGCAGCCACTGGAGCTACACCACAGCTGATGTGTACATATCAACAGCACCAGTCAAGCAACAGGACACCTTTTTATTCAGCAGTTAATCTTTTGTGTCTATATTTTCTACATTGTACAGGGATAGATGCTAATATTTTAAGCACTGGTTGCATGGGTCAGTAAGTCCCAGAGTTTGGTGGCTAAAGTACATTTAGGGTGGCCCAAATATAAATGCATGTAAAAGCAATGCAGAAAAGTCAGTTTAATGCAAACAGCTTTCCTGAACCAGGACACTTCAATAAATGAAACAACGTTGACAGAATGAAAATGTGACTGTGTGTTTAAAGAGCCCATGGCTGCTCATTTTGCTTGTTTCCAGCCATTTAATGTTTAATCTTGGATACCTCTAGATTAGCTTTACACCCCTCAAAACGCCAAATAGTCTAGAGCCTCTTCCTAAAAACAAGAGGACAGTTCATGAATGTGCACACCTCCTGCTGCCGGTGTTGTGTTGAAAGTGGACAGCAGGACGAACCAGAACGGCATTAACTGATTTGAACTTGTCCTCCATAGATACAAGGGTAAATGACAGTACACGTACTGATGAAGAGATGTGTAACATTCTAAACAAAGTGGGTAACTGAGAAAACCCATATTTTAACTGGCATAATGCAGACATAGTACCTTCTTCAGCCATACAACAATTCTCTCTAATGTTACAGAAACAACACATTAACAGACATGCAACGTGTTTATTAAACTTACTGTTAAGTCCCACTGAGTAGTGGAAACATCGCTCCATTTCAAGTAGCTCCAAGGTCGGTAAATTCAACCGGTGATTGCTGTGTCTTCCCCCACACGACCACATACAGTCACAAAGTAGTGAAATTAATTCCAACAGGTAGTGTAGCACCGACAATAACATCGTGGATTGTTAATCTGCTGGTTAACCAGCAACACATCACATGCAGCAGACACACTGGCCTCAAGCAGTCCAAACAGGTACTGTGCTCCAGGGGGAGTCCAGCTTTGATGAGCTGATCACTAACCACCGCGGGGGCTTCACTGGCTGGCTGCTCATAGCTTAGACCCGGTCAGGTAAAACAGCGAGTCCCTGTACAGGAACATTCCTGGACATGCAGTAATCTCAGGCCCTGTATTTTTCTCCACATCCTCTGGTCACAGTGCAGCAGCAGGAGGGAAAATGTAT